ATTAAAAAAAAGTGTAAACAAAGTAAGGAAAAGTAACAAGTGTCACGTGTTGTTCTCTGTGCCATAAACCTGACGAAGGACACATAAACACAAAGTTTATATATAAAAATACACTCACTGGACACACCTCCTTATATCTTTAGAAGTGCCTTAATTCTTCCTTGTGTAGATTTAGCTGGAAATGTTTCTCTGTGGTTTGTTGTGGATGGATTGATGTCTGGTGATTGTGCAGGCCATTTGAAGACAGTGAGCTCATTGTTATGCTTAAGAAACCAGTTTGAGATGGTTTGAGCTTTGTATCCTGCTGGGGGAAGCCATCAGAAGATGGGTATGCTGTGGTCATAAAGAGATGGATATGGTCAGCAGCAATACTTGGGCAGGCTGCTGCATATAAATGATGCTTAATTGGTAGTAATGGGTGGCCTAGAGTGTTCCAAAAAACATATCCCCCATATCATTACATCACCACCACCAGCCTGAACTATATACTATAATGCTGTTCTACTATATAATAGAAGCCAGGATGGATCCGTGCGTTCATGTTGCTTAAATTCTGGTTCTAACATCGCAATGTTGCAGCAGAAATTGAGACTCATCAGACCAGTGGATGTTTTTCCCAATTTGCTTTTGTCCAGTTTTGGTGTGCAAACTGAACCAGAGTGTTCAGAGGTGATCTTCTGCATACCTTGGTTGTAATGAGTGCTTAATTGAGTTATTCTTGCCTTCATCACCTCGAAGGAGTCTAGCCATTCTCCTCTGACCTCTCACATCGATGAGTCATTTTCACCCAGAGAACTCACTTTTCACTTTTACAGATCATTCTCTGTAAACCCCAGTGACAGTTGTGAGGGAAAATCCCAGTAGATGAGCAGTTTCTTAAGTGCACCACGTTGGCGCCTGCCTCCTAACTTATGGGTCTATTATTGCAGTCCTCTCTTTTCAATTACTGTCATCTCAGGTTTTGTTTATTTTTAAGAAAACTATAGTTTTAGCCTTGTGAAGGAGAATGAGTGAGGCGAGTGAAGTTTCACATGTACACAAAGCATTTCAGACTGGAAATAACAAGTGAAACGCATTGTTAAGTTAAGATACGGCGATGGAGGTTATTTCAGTCCTTTAATCACACATTTAGCTGCATGTCGTTAGATTGTGGGTGAAAACGGAAGACAAGAGAGTACTTGTCCCGGCATGCGTTTGACCAGTGGAAGGGTAAATCAGGACATGCTGCTGGTGGCACTGTGGGAGGAACTGGAGTGCTCACAGTATGCTGACATTATGAAACTTTTGGCACGGTGACACAGGCAGTGCAGTGTCGGTCCACCGGTTTGTTTCGGAACAAAAATCTCAGCAAAGACTCTGATGGTCCCCCGGCTTAACCTGTACTGTCAGCATGAGGTTGACATTTCTGGTTTTGAGTGAAACGTCTCAGTAAGCCGGACAGACTGTTATTAGATCGGGTTTAGATGTTTTCAGCGGCTTTTTGTCCAGTCCCGCCAAAAGGTCATATTTGTCATTTGGCTAATGCTAATGATCTTTTCATTTGCCTCAGGTTTGTCCTATTATTACTTGTCGTCCTCAGCCTCATCTGACACTGACTTAGATGAGGAAGTTTGTCCTTAATGAGGAGGCTGTCTTTTAGTTTTGATCAATGTAACCACTCTTTGATGGGATGCACCGGTACATTGGTTTACAATTACAGTGATGTTTTCTGTTAAACTCATGTGTTCCTTAGTTGTATTTTTATGGCATGTTAGACAACTTTAGCTTGTTTCCTTTAGCTAATTCTGTGTGTCTCACGGCCTTTAGATGCCTATAAAGGAACGCTGGGATTCGATATTCGATCTTCTGGAATGCTGATGGCATTTTCCAAAAGATAGACTGGTGAATAGATGGTGCTTTCTGTTATCCCAAACATAACCTACTTCTGCGGTCTCACCAAAAGAGGCAAACAACATTAAGTACAGTTCCTGTAAGTGACACGTGAAGCTGCAAACCAATTTTCAGTTTGGTGATTTAAAAAAGCAAAATGAAAAAATGAAAAAAAGATTTTTGCTTTTGTTTCCTCCTAAAACAACATTTTGAGGTTGTTGAAAGCATATTCTACTATGAGAACCTTTGAGACACTCAAATATTCTGCTGCTTCTCTTTTAAATGTATAAAGTGGAGCTGAATTAGATCATTATTTAGTTGCTATTTCTTATAAGCAAAATGCTGAAAAAGACTCGGTGTAAAAACTTGATGATTCTGTCAGAGTAATTATACTTTGCATTTTTTCATTATTTCTCTTTTCTCATCTGATCTCTGGCTCTTTGTTAGATTGGTTTTCTACTTATGTATCTAATAGGACCGTCTCTGTTAGGACGAACGAGTTCTACTCTAACATCGCTTCCTTAACCTGTGGAGTTCCACAAGGTTCAGTTCTGGGTCCCTTATTATTTTTCTGTCTATGTTGTTTCTTCATCTGCCATCATTCATCCTTTTCTGACATTTCTATGCCATTGACATTAAGCTGCATATGTATTTTAAACCTCACCAGCTGAACAGGCTGTCAACCCTGGACCACTGTTTAACCTGGATTAATGGCCGTCTAGCCATTACCTTCTTCTAAACATCAACTGAGAACACAATTATAGCTCCTCCTGAACCTTTTGCTTCTTTAGGTTCAGAGTTCGGGATGTCTGATTATAGTCTGGGCTTTGATTCACCTGTAAAATGTATTTCTTGTTCCTGTTACTTTTTATTTAAAGAAGATTTCTAAATTACGATATATGGTCTCCTTTGCTGAACTGGAGGAAATTGTTGATGCTTGAGTGTTATCGTGCTTAGGTTGCTGTAAAGCCCTTTTATACATAAATCATCTGTTTTATGCCTCTAAGCAATAAAAAAGTTTTTTTTTTTTTTTTTATGTCCCGTTTGGATCTTTAGCCATCAGAATTGTTGTCTTAAGGCCAAGAAAGATGCCAAGCGGATTTATTTTACCAAGTGGATCATCATGGCCTTGCCATATTGGTCCATTTGATTAAAAGTTATTTTTAACAAAATGTTGCTATTAAAATATTCTAGTTGGCGAGCTCACATTAATTTTTACACGGGTCCCAGTAAATAGCCAGGCTTCAAATTATTTATCCCAGCTTCACATTAATCACACTGAGGCACACAATCTTCGATGACAGGCTCTGAATTTGTTAGTTGTTCCTTGGAAGATGAAAAGACTTCTGGGACAGAGCCCTTCAGTCTGTTGAGACTTTTATTGATTAGAACTTTTGAAACTACCCGTTTACTTTATTATTAAACATTGTTTTTATTATTGGGGAGCACGGTGGTGCAGGGGTTAGCACTGTTGGCTCAGTGGAGTTTGACTCCACCAACTGGTTAGAGCCTTTCTGTGTGGTGTGTGCATGTTGTTCCCGTGTTTGCGTGGGTTACTTTAATCATGTTTGTTTTCAGTTTAGTTTCAGGTTTAGGTTTCGTTGTCTGAAAATGGTAAATTAGTTTCAGTTCGTTTTTTTTCTTTACAGTATGTTGGATAGGTCTCTCGGGCAAGATTACAAATTCCCTCTGAGTGATGACATGTTCCAGGCTAGTTTTATGAGGCTAGGACAAGAATTAATATCTTAACATTAACAGATTAGGTTGTTTCATGGAGGCAGGCTCAGCCTAATTTGATCAGGACCTTGAATTGACCACAATAATCTACACCTAATTTAACATAATATTAGAAGATGCACAGTAATAAACTGACATCTTTAAACTTAGAAGCAAAAAAATACTTTATTTGTAGATTTTTGCAGGTGTAATGTCTCACATAGTAAGCAATTGTAAGTTACCACTATATAACGTTCTTTGGCATGTTCACTGCCACTTTAGTATGAATTTCACATTATTTTTTTTGCATGCAAACAGTAAATCCTGAGCACTGGGGGAAAACAATCTCTATTCCCTTCTCTGTTGTTGCAGCTACACATCGCAGCAGCAAATGGCTACGCGCAGGCTGCAGAGCTGCTGCTGGAGGGGGGGGCTCGTGTGGACCTCAGAGATTCAGATGGATGGCAGCCTCTTCATGCTGCAGCGTGCTGGGGTCAGGTAAGGAAAACACAACAGGAAAGAGATAAGAGCCTCAGGCGCACACAAAGGTTTCTGGAACCATTAATACAAATTGCTTCCACTGTTGTTGTTGCTGCTGCTTTAGATGCATGTGGCAGAGCTGCTGGTGTCTCACGGAGCCAGTCTCAATGCCAAGACCTTCCTGGAGGAGACTCCAATTGGTATGTTTACAGTATACTGTAGCACTCACTTGTCCGGTGCACCTGGTAATGAGTTCAGGGGAAAAAAAGTATCGTCTCAGCAGGGTCTCATTTCCAAGTGTTCACTTTTATGTTAAGCATTACTAACAGTGTCCCTTTTACCCATGTTGCTTTAAGATCTGTGTGAGGACGAGGAGTTCAGAGCCATCCTGCTGGACCTGAAACACAAACACGACATTATCATGAAGTCACAGCTCAAGCACAAGACCTCGCTGTGCAGGCGAACGTCCAGTGCAGGCAGTCGTGGGTATGTGCTGACATCTGTTGGTGGTAGCATGGCTACTACAGGCTTTGTTATTTGGAGAAATTAGAAAACAGACAAAACATCTGTTCTGTATACTTACAGCTGTATTTACACTTAATAGGAGAATGGTGGATAGAAGTCTCCGCTGATATAATGACATAATGTCTGACATAATGAAGCTGTCAGTTTAGCGTGTGTATAAGTTCTTCCGCTCTTTAACTTTCATGTGTAAAAGTACCATATATGGTAAGCTGTTATTTTTCTAGCTGCTTTTTCTTACTGGGAATTCCACTTGTGTTCACAGAAAAGTGGTGCGGCGAGCCAGTTTGTCGGACAGACACAACCTGTGTCGTAAAGAGTACGAGACCGAGGCCATCGTGTGGAGGAAAGAAAAGGAAGACGAGGACGAGAAAGAAAAGGAGTCTGATCAGGAGAATAGCCAAGTAGTTAATGTGAGACTATTTTTAAGGATTACATAAATAGCTCTATACAGTTCTAACTTTGGTTTTTTGGGTGGGTGGGGGGTGGCTTGGTGGAATTTACCGCCCCTTCACACACACGCTGTCAGATAATAATGTGTGTGAGAGATATTTTTAAGCACAGGTAGAAAGATGATTCTTCCCACTCAGAAGCTGAAATGTCACATTTGGATGAATCAGACAGAGGACTTCCTCCAGCACCCAGGAGCAATTGCACAAAAGGAAACCCACAACAGAAAAAACTGAAATACTGTCTTCCATTATCAGTAGACTCTGTTGCCGCCGCTGCTGCTTATTGTAACCTCAACTTTTTACACACATTATCTGCAGATTATCAGATGACATTCAGAGAAATGTTGCTCTGGCACAAAATAACTCTGAACAGTTGGGAGATTTTCTCTATAATGAAGCAAATAAATTGGCTTTACATCTTATTTCATTTGAACTTGGTAAGCCTCGGCAGCAGATCAAAGTTTGCTGATCTGCCCTGCACAGTCAGGCCTTTGTGTATTTAATGAGCTAAAAGAAAGTCTTACAGAGGATTAAAGTAATCCTTATTGATGTCTTGCAGGTCAAGCCTGTTGTCGCTGTGGAGCTGCCCGACAAGTCCAACCTACCCACCATCCTCAAAGAAGGAAAGCAGAACGGCCTAATCTCCACGACAACATCCATGCCACCTCAGCCTCCCTCCAATGGCAGCACACCGACGTCCAGTAAGGGTGGGGTTGTCACCACCCAGCCGTCCCAGGAGGAAGCCTGGCCAAAAGAGCGCCCTCAGACTCTGTCAGAGCTGAAAAAGCAGCGAGCTGCTGCCAAGCTCTTGAACCACCCCTTGTTCAACGGTCACCTTGGTAACGGCTCCACAGACTCCTTCACTGATGCCAAAACCACCTCTGAGGATCCTCGCATGCCGCTGGTCTCCTCCAATGGCAACGCCGTATATTATACCCCAGCCAGCGGCGACCCACCCCTGCTCAAATTCAAGCAGCCTATGGAGGAGGAGCAGCCGAAGGTGCGGACCTGCTGCTGCGTGTCATAGTTGGTGCGCGGTCATGTGACTGTTACCAGAACAGGAAGTGTTTGCACTGAGAGGAGGGAAGCAAGGAAGGCTCTGTAGAAGGGAGGAGAAGAAAGAAGGAAAGTCTTTGAACATCCTTCACCACTCCCGGTTCAAAAATGTCTTCAAGACAGGCGGCCCGATTAAAGTATGAAAACATTTCCTTTTACCTCCCAGTCTCGTAACTCCTTTAAAGTGCAGCTGAGAAGTGGAGGAAATTCCTTTCATACATGGAGTCTCTTTACACAACAAATGTAAAGACAAGAAGTGGTCCCGCTCTCCCTGTTAAAAATCAAAGAGGATGGGGAGTGTTTTTTGACAGAAATTTAGAATTAGGAGAGAAGATCGCAAGGTACTGAATCCTCTACTTTCACACATGGAAGAAACTTTGTCTGTTACCCCACAAACAGATCGGTATCATTTCATTAGAACAGCATTTCTTCCAGGATAAACTAATCTTGTTATCAAACCACATGTGGCACATTCTTGTCATGTTCAAACAAGCAGGACAGTCATCCTGGAAGGGTGCTGATATCTTGTAATACACCGTGTTGTTGTAGTACAACACATGAGAAAATGCAAAACATGGCAAAAGGAGATCTGTGACATCTCTTTCCGTGTTGACATGCTGCCTGGAAAAGTAAGTGAAAGGAATGCCATAAAACAGTGTTAAAATACTCATGAAGTGTACTTCTACAGTCTTGGAGAATAGCCATACACCGGCACATGGCAGATTACTCAAAATGAGTACTGCACTAGCGTGAGTTTGCACAACACCAGGTCGCGACCTAGAGTATTTCGCGAGATACAAACATCATATGCAGTCACACTCACACGTCCTCTCAACGTGCGAACCTATAAATACTGACCAGGTCGTGTCTTTGTTGTTTGTATGCCACTAAGTTACGACTTTGTGCTCACTACAGTACTGAGACTAAATTTCTATAAGCAAAATCTGAGTGTGTAATTAATTACTTTGTACCCAATGTATTGTATAATCATGTAAATTTGTGTAGAGATTGGGTGTTAAAAGAAAAACAAAAAAACGAAATAGAAAAAAAACATGTATATGCAAAGGAAGTCGAGGTGTTATTATTATTTGTATGGCGTGTATGGCCACGTGTAGTGTGTGGAGTGTGTGCTGAGTGTGGGGGGGAGGCGGAATTCTCCCCAGCTGAGCATCCTTTGACATATATATATATATCTCATATATATATATAGATTACTGTCTGCTTTTATAGTACAGTGTAATATAAAAATAACAATCAAAGCCCTATGCCATACTTATACTGGATTGGACTTGCGCATCGAAATGATGTCCTATCTACAAAAAACACTAGTCGTCATATGCGTTTATTGGTTTTGTGCGTTTTGTTTTCTCTTGGTGCATACTAATATGTAGACTAAAAATTTACTTTCCCCCGGAGGTCACTGAATTTGTCTTCTAAAGCAAAGTAGACTGCTACTCAAATGAGAAATAGATTAACTGTAAATGAAAATTGAAGTTTTCAGAAGAATGTCTGAGGCCTCGAGTATTCTTTGCTAGAGTAGAGTTGTGTAAGCGCCAGATCCTTCAGCGTGTCGTATTGTTATATCATGGTTGAGATTGTTGATATGCACAACCACCCCCCCCCACCTAAATGAAAAAAAAATAAACGAGCTACTAACAGTGATATAGTTGGTTCGTCTTGAACCTGAAATAATGATGTAATATTTCTATCATTCTTTAGAAAACAGTTGATTGAGAGAGATGGACTAGTAGCGCAGCAGTCACGCTGGTAAAAGCATACAAACGAGCGAGCGGAGACTCTTATTTTGCGATCAGACGTCGGTCTTAAAAGGGAAATTTTATTGAGAGGGCAAGGGATTTTTTTTGTTTCTTGTCGGCGCGAGAAGGAATACCCTGCCCACTCCTTTCAACGCGGGGGCTGGAGCAAGCAAAGGGTCTGAGAGAAAAGCGAAGGCACATCGCACTTAGACTTTGATAATGCTAGGTGGTCAAATAACAATTGGAGCGAGTGTGGTATTGAAGTGCGACTATTATAAAGTCTCGCAAGGCATTTGTCTAGATTGTTTAACGATCTCATAGATCAAGACTTTGTAACAAACCTAACAGGAATAATCGCATATGGAATCCTGTGCTTATCAGTTGTCCTGTTCTTTTAAATTTACTAGCTACACTGAAAAGTCTCCAAGAACTGGTAATTGCCACATCATTTAGATGATAGCTGGTGCGCAACCGCAGCAGTGGACCACTTGGCATATCAGTTGTTTTTTACTAGCTACACTGAAAGTCTTCAAAAACTGGTAATTGCATACATGGTTGCGCTCACAGTGACACTTGTCTTAGTTTAAAACAAGCACATGCAGAACCGCTAACCACAGTGTGTCGTGAGCAGGCTTACCTAAATGCAATAAAGCCATTAACACTGCAGGCGTCCTTTTCCTGCCTTGACATGGCAGGAAAAAAGCGAAGAACATTAGTGAGACTTTGTTTTCTTCTCAGAGCAAAATGTTTCTCTTTGTTTCGAGTCTTCATGGTAAGTTAAGGCAAGTAGTTTCTATTTGTGGAGACTAAGAAGGAGTTTAGTATCAACCTTGTCATCAAACCTGCAGCCAGGAAGCCAGTCAGGCTACACTGAATGCGAAACTATTCCTTAAATTTAACAGCTCCTTTAAATGTGTTTGTGCCAAAGAGTCTTCCATGAGTTGAAAATAATTTAGTTTGGCGGGAAGCTTTCTGATGGCCGACTTCTTTGAAAATGTGATTACCTGTAATGCCACGCCATCGCCCTTCTTCCTCACCACATCAACTGTACAGCGTTCGAGTATTTGTACAGACAGGTTTGTAAATATGTTTGTATCAGTACTCCCCCTGTTATGTTCCCATGTTTTTGCATTTACATGTCTGTGTTGTTACTGTTGATGAACATATAGGAAACTACAGTTAACCATATGGGTGAATAGTGTTAGCAGACTTTTGGTTGTACCAAGGGGGGGGGACTGTGCGATTAAGTAGACCCTCAAGTAGTCCCAGGAGTCCAAAATGTCTGCAGAGTCGAGCGCATACCCAGATATGGCTGAGTGTTAAGACACCAGTGTCTGTGGTGCATTTAAAGCTGAAAGACTGAACTTTTGTGCATGATTTTTCTGCAATGGTCAGTTTGTTTTTCACCTCAACTTGAGGAAGTAAAAATGAAGTCAAACAGTTTGCCATTTCCCTTATTTTAGGTACAGCGATGTCATCTTGTTATGAGGCAGCTTACTTCTGGTAGCTGCAAACAAGTTGATTAAAAAAAAGTTCAACCCTGTTTCCTTATTAATTAAATTCAATCCAACTGAACAGGAATTTGTTCAAGAAAAGTACCGACTGCTCAGTATTACGCAGAAAGGGGCAGTAGACTGTTTCAAAAGTTACTTGTGATCACATACACAGATCCAAGCTTGTGTTTAAGGATCAAATTATGAAGACAAAACTACTGATTTTGTAATTACTGGAATATATTGATGGTTACATTAACATATTTTGAATAAAATGTATATTTTGAGAACTTTACATGGTGAATCTGAATCTGTTTAGCTGTTATACTGTTACAGTTTGAGTTCAGATTTCCTGCAGGCTGTGGACATGAGAAGAAACATTTTTCGTTTTCTGTTTTTAATCACTGTAATCACAACAATTGAAAATGGGTGAATAGGTTTTGGATAGATGTCCAAAAAGAGAGCTATAATAAATAGTTCATATAGAGATGTATAATGTACAGTTGAACTGGTCACTAAACACCAAAAGCTCCATTATTTTCTTTAAAATCTGGTTCCTACAGTCGGCTCTGGATGTCTGCTGTATTTTGACGTCTGCAGCGACTTTCTGTTCTGAGACCAGCAGAGACTGTGCCGTCCTTCATCTCACAGCTGTCAGCGTCTTGGCCTGAGTTCACCTCCCTCCTTCAAGGATTTTCTTTCCTTTGTTTTTGCACTTCCTCTCATTCACTGGCTTTAGGTTCACCAGTTTATTTAGAACAGCAGTTGTTACCTAGCCAAGATTCTTCCTGTTATGAGTACTCCAACCGGCCACTTTATTATGTACGCATTGCCATTATAAATCAGCTACTCATACAGTAATGACTTTAGGCATGTAGACATGGTCAAGATGACCTTCTGAAGTTTAAACCAAGCATCAGAATGGGGAAGTACACAAGTCACTATGAAAGTGACTTGGTTTTGTTGCCAGACAGGCTGATCTGACTAATTTCAGAAACTGCTGATCTACTAGGATGTTCCCACGCAACCATCTCTAGGCTTTTCAGTGAAGATTATGAAAAAGAAAAAATATCCAGTAAGCAAGAGGTTTCTGGGAGAAAATGCTGTGTTGATGTCAAAGGTCAGAGGGGAATGCAACAGTGATTTTAAATTCAGATGGATCCATCCTGCCTTGTATCAGCAGTTCAGGCTGCTGATGGTGGTGTGATGCGTCTGGTCCCCCTAGTATCGAATGAGCATTTTAAAAATGCCACAGTCTGAATATTATTGTTGACCGTGTCCATCCCGTTATGACCATAGCACATCCATCATCTGCTGATGACTGCATCCAGCAAGATGGAACAGCATGTCACAAAGCTCTCATCATCTCAAACTAGCTTCTTGAACACGATGCTGTCACCGGATCTCAATCCAGTACAGCACTTTGAGATGTGATGGAACATGAGTCGCATCATTAATGTGCAGCTGACAAATCTGCAGCAACTGTGTGAAGAGGGCCCAACCAGGTACTAGCACAGTGTAACTAATAAAGTGGCTGGTGAGTGTATAAACTATTACATATATACATGCTCCTAAACTAGGCAAATTATGTAGTGTTTGTACTAATAGTTTGTTTTTCACTCCATGAGCCGCTGAGAAGGCCAATCAGTGCAAACATTTAAGTCATCTTACAGTCCTTTAAGTGTGCTAAGCAAATGTTTGCAGAAATCATTCTTTGATTTAAGCACAGTCACTATGTCTAAGGCATATAGACAGAGGCGAGGACAATGGTGCTGGAAAACGCATGATTTGGACAACATTGGCCTCCTCTGTGTTGCCTGGCTTTGCTATTGTGCCCTGGCTGTACTAACTGGAGGCCAGCTGGCTGTGGTCCAGGTCCTTCAGTCCTCTTCACTGTGGAGGGCAAAGTGGATCGGTTCCAGAAAGAGCATACAGACACATACTGACCACTCGGCTGGCCACATAAATGGAGGATGCTGATAAAAAGCACTGGGAACCAAGCAGGAATGTGGTTCATAAAGCAAGAAAATGAACCAGTGGCAGGAGCTGAATAGTCCATGGGATCAATGAAGAGGTTTTTGCACTAAAAGGAGAAAAAGTATGCAAAGGAAGGGTGGATGACAGCTTTAAAATGGGCCTCCACTGGGAGGACGCCATAGCTACTGAGCGTCCAGCCAAGACTGATAGAAGAGCTGCACAAAAAGAATGGATGGACGGAGAGACGGCTTACTGGGTCAGAACCTCTTCTTATTCCCAGGGTCCATTGGACCTAACAGGGCTTCAGTGGGTTATCTGACCTGAATTTAAAATGTCTAAGTCAATAAGTGGATGCCATTCTGTCTCAGCAATGTTGATAGATAACAGGCCGATCGAAGGCAGCAACTCATTTTCAAGCATGATGCAGCATTTCAGTACTGAAGTATCACTTTAAT